CAAACAATTATTGAGTTTATATTCTTTCTGTTGTCCTGTCCTGTTGATAACCAAACATGCCATTACCTTGATCAATTACGATGCGTACATATTTGATGACGTCTTTAAAAAAAAACACTTGTGACGTAGATTACAAGATAATATGTGGTGTTGACACCGACACTTCCACGGGGTATATGTGGTGACTGATTATTAGGGCAAGTTACCCCCGCAGTCATGTTTAGTCACTGTGCTGGTCCACACTGACAGCTAGCGGTATGTTAATCTGTGTATCAATGTTGTTAGCCTGGACAAGTCAATCTCCTTCCAACCCTACCGATACACACATTTTTATTCCTAGTGTTTCCGAAAGCCTTTAGAACGACTTGTCCGTAACCTTTTTTTATCATTGTATGATATCCGACACAATAGTACTGTTGGTGCCACGTTAATATGAATTAATAAACTCTTTTGAACTTATCACAACAAAATAACTAATACAGTAGAACTCAAGAAGCAGACATGATTTATATCTCGATAATAATCAATACAATGTGTATCACGTATTTAGTCCCCATATCAGGAACATCCAGATATCAACATTGTATGTTAGGTTATCGAGAAAGATGATGTTCGTGCGAAACAATCACTTAGATCGTACACTCTATTGCAGGTGTTCACGTAGGTCAAGGGCATGCCGAACTTGGAACTTATAGACTTTCTTAAAACGCATATAAATTGGAAACTCATTTGAAAGTGTAGATAATAACATAAAATAAAATAACAAACACACAACATTGACTGCTAGGCCTTTCTGCCTTCTTAATTGGGCCTCCTCAGGCGGAAATATAATTTATATACTGAAATCCAAATTTATTTACAGATGTATATTGAATTTCAATACGTCAGTATCGCAATGACGAAATTTACAAAATTACAATTGTTTGATTGACACTTTGGTTTATTAACGTTATCATGACACTATGCTCTTTTGTTTCTGTGTCGCTATGACATTGTGTTACACTGTTTTCGTGTCTCTATGACAACTGTTTATTCTTTCTGTGTCGCTATGACATTGTCTTACACTGTTTTCGTGTTTCTATGACAACTGTTTATTCTTTCTGTGTTGCCATGGCATTGTGTTACACTGTTTTCGTGTTTCTATGACGACTGTTTATTATTTCTCTGTTGCCATGGCATTGTGTTACACTGTTTTCGTATTTCTATGACAACAGTTTATTCTTTCTGTGTTGCCATGGCATCGTGTTACACTGTTTTTGTGTTTCAATGACGACTGTTTATTCTATATGTGTTGCCATGGCATTGTGTTACACTGTTTTCGTGTTTCTATGACAACTGTTTATTCTTTCTGAGTTGCCATGGCATTGTGTTACACTGTTTTCGTGTTTCTATGACGACTGTTTATTCTTTCTGTGTTGCCATGGCATTGTGTTACACTGTTTTCGTGTTCTATGACGACTGTTTATTCTTTCTGTGTTGCCATGGCATTGTGTTACACCGTTTTCGTGTTTCTATGACAACTGTTTATTCTTTCTGTGTTGTTATGACATTGTGTTACACTGTTTTCGTGTTTCTATGACAACTGTTTATTCTTTATGTGTTGCCATGGCATTGTATTACACTGTTTTCGTGTTTCTATGACAACTGTTTAATCTTTCTGTGTTGCCATGGCATTGTATTACACTGTTTTCGTGTTTCTATGACAACTGTTTATTCTTTCTGTGTTGTTATGACATTGTGTTACACTGTTTTCGTGTTCAATGGTATTGTGGTACAATGTTTCTGGGTTACTAGGTCGTTGTTTCACATATTCTTATGTCATTTTAGTAAATTGTTCAGTTCTTGGATGAATTGCTTTGTATTCATTGGTGTTTTTCGTATGAAGACTGATAAACGGGATGAAACAATATTAAAGCGTTTTAAAATTCCAATATTATTTTCCAATTTTGAACCATTTATTAAATCTGAAAGTAGGACACACGAGATGACTAGTGTTTCCCTGTACATAAATCTTGTAATGACCTTATTTCCCCGAGGGTACATAAACACGTCTATTCATTCAATTATACCAGACTGTTTACCCGGGTATTTGGTGATTAGTGACGTCGTCACTGACCTGACACACTGACACATACCTTGTCTCATACCTGTGGTTAGCCTAATCACCGACGACCTTGACTTACCGTATCTGTAATGACCTTGGTATGTAGACATGGTCGTGAGGTGCTGTTAGGGACAAGTGCCATTGTTACAACGCGTGTGGAACAGGAGTTAACATCGACTGACATCCAGTTTAATTCATGTATAATGTCATACTCAAATCTTTGTAAATTAAGATACACAAAAAAGTACCAGTTAGCATGTGAAAACAACTTTGTACGGAGCCCACAATGGGACATTGAAATGAAATAGTATATGTATTGTCATGGCCCTTAACGAGCTCCATAGTTTGGTGTGATTTATTTTTGTAAGTCTATTGTTTCTGTTACTGAATACTCAGAATCTGCTACAGATGCTGCCGTTCTCCAGGAACTCAATTTTCCAGTTGTTTTGTTTTGTATATTCTCAGTGTCCATTCAACAAATACCGTTGGCAATGGGGGACTAGAGAGACAAAGGCTGTCGGAAAAGAAGGAGGAAAGGTCACAATTGATATTACAGATAGTTCATTAAGATATGTTATTATATTAATTAAGGTACGATTTTGGTTTCCATTGTCAGTTATGTTTGGAGAACCACAAAATTGACCATTGAGTGTAATATTGCAAAAAACGAGAGACACTGCCAAACACATATTGACGTTGTAAAGTTCTCATTTGGTAGTAGTATATCCATTTTAACATTTACCTGAGAATAAACGTGAACACTGCATACGGAATGCCCTACAGCCTCAATATATCTTTAACAACGCACGCACTTGGTTGCTGGTTCAAGCCATGACTCTTGATACATAGACTGTTTACTTGAAAAAAGGAAGACAAATCAATATCAATTCTGGTTAGTTTAGGTACAACTCAAGTTCAGTAAAATCTGACAGAGAGAAACCATTCACTTTGACGCATATTCCAATACAGACAACACACACACTTTATATACTGAGTTCTTTCTATTTGACAGAAAGTTTAGCTTTCGTAGAACTGGTGTTTTTGTTTTGATTTGATTTTATGCATGTTTTTGAATTCCTGAAATATGCTGAAGTTATTTTACTTTTACACCAAAATATCACTCCTAAATGCCTATAGATTTTAATCAACTTTCGTTTTTATTGCCACAGGACAGTAGCAGATGAAGGACGTGTTTTGCTGTAGATACGAAAAAACATTATCATTTTGTGGATTAAATTTTGAGTCAATATTGAGCCGGTTTTTAAGGTCACATAAACGTATACCGACTCCATTTCATGTGTGCCTGTCACCATTAAGACAATTAAAGAGGGAGATCTGATAAAAATACACTAGGACATATCACCCCTGGTATAAGGGTCATAACTTTGACCTAATATTAGACAGGGTCACCGGTGACTAATTACCTTAATTAGACAGGGTCATCATTGACCAGTTGACCTAATAATAAGGGTACTAATTGACCAGCTGACCTAATTATAAGGATAAGCATTGAAGTATTATCAATTGATAGTAATCTATAAGGCCACTAGTCTGTTAGAAGGATGAGAAGGGTTTATATAAGTACACAATACTTTTTTCCTCATTATGTTTGCCTATGTGATTCATGCCATGTATTTACTTTAATACATTACTTTAATAAATACGGTTTGAACCAATGATAATAATTGATAAGCTGACAAATTCTACAGAGTCGTCATTGATAAGTTATTTACTTTGACCTAATTACACACCATTGATAAGGTATTTACTTAGACCTAATTACACACCATTGATAAGGTATTTACTTTGACCTACTTATACACCATTGATAAGGTATTTACTTTGACCTAATTACACACTATTGATAAGTTATTTACTTTGACCTAATTACACACCATTGATAAGTTATTTACTTTGACCTAATTACACACCATTGATACGTTATTTACTTTGACCTCATTACACACCATTGATAAGTTATTTACTTTGACCTAATTACACACCCTTGATATTAAAGGAATTTACTTTGACCTAATTACACGCCATTGATAAGTTATTTACTTTGACCTAATTACACACCATTGATATTAAAGGTATTTACTTTGACCTAATTACACACCATTGATAAGCATGCTTTTTGACCCATTAAGACAAGGCTATCATGGGCAAGTTATTTTTGTGTAGGAGTCACATACGATGTCGTAGTAAACTGTACTGCTGGATGTGAATGAAACATTACTATGGCATTTCCTATCTCACACACCTACACACATAGAGAACGTATGATTGGAATAATCATAGAATTTGATAATAATAAGAATTTAGTGTAACTTACTAAATAAGTAAAGACAAATCCTAATTAGGGACGTGCATAACAGTCTTTCTGATTGCATGCTAAACCTGTAAACATTATACCAATACGAATCCACATTTCGGGATTTCTCTTTGATTATTTATTAAAAGATATTATCAGTATGTAATCGGCTAATCTTCAGGAATATGTTTAAAAAGAAATAAAAAGATAGTCAAATATCGATGGTACAATACAATCCCCGGGGCAATATGCATTGCTTGTTCCGCGTATTTTCATTCAACTTCCGTTTTCAGACCAGCTGACTTCAACCATTGACCATGTAAATGATATGTTTACTATACCAATATACATATTTTCTCGGCCCCAGGGCCATATCATACAGAGTCATTTTCTATCTGACAGGTATTTTAGCCTACTCAATTAAATTCTTCACGTGGATACGGGGCTGATCATCGTAGGCTATCATACTAAGTTGTCTACCCTGACAGGGTTTGATGGATGAGGGGCCGCCATGGCTGTCACCCGTCACCGCCCCTCCCTGGGTATATAGGGGCCGGACACTGAAGGGAAAGTATTCACAGTTCACCTCTCACAGGACTAACTTCACCTTTCGAACAAATCAAGTCACCAGATACTGAAAAGATGGAAACTTTAGCGATCGTCTGTATTTTGGCGTGGATGCTTGCCTATACATCAGCTTTGCAAACATGTAAGTATGCCTCAACATTTTGTTCTATCAAAATCTACTTAAAGATTTTGTTCGTGAAAAATGGTTTCACAATTTAACTTTCCAGTTTTAGCTTATTATTTAGTTGACGCTTATTTCTTCTGCTACCTTTATAATCCGTATAGTTGATAGACAGTGTTTCAGTAGGATTTGGATTTGAAAATGACAGAGCGCAAGCCAAACAGCACTTTTTTCACGCAACATTTTAAGGGCATATTTTCTTTTAGCGCGCTGCGCTGTTCTACCAAAAAGTATTACTTAAGACACAGGGTATATCCAGGGCTGTAATATTCTATGCAAGCACTTTTATATGAATTCAGTCAAAATCAGTGTTCTGTTATTGTGAATGCGCATACCAAACTGTTTTCTGTTGAACATGCAGTGTTTCGCAATTTATACGTTAAATATATTTATTCCAATATTTATATATTCTGAGAAAAAACCAATATTTTCAATAGTTAGATTATTTATCTTAAATCAAAAGTTAATTTTTGGAAAATAAGTATATTTTTTCATTGTCGATCATAATAGTCCATTGCTAGTGCTAGTGATTTCATTACTAGTTAGGTTAAACAGCACTACCACCTTCGAAATCCAAGGGTTAAGCTCTGGGTACACATAACTTCCCTAAACGTATTTCGAGAGCGGAACCGTTATGTTTCGAAGATGCAGTTTTGCGCACTCCAATACCTTGTGTATTACGGTATTATAAATGGGTGATTGACCACATAACTCATCATGAAAAAAATAACGGATACGTCATAACGCCATCAATCACCCAAGTCATATGGTATCGATTGATTAGGTAGAATGTTGTGGGAAGTGTATATCAATATAATATGATGTAGCCTGATGTGTCAGAATACTGTCCACGGGTTGGTCGGGGGAAACATTCCATTAAGGACAATATCATATACATAATTCTGTTCATCATGAAATAATGTAATTGCATTCATGGTTTTTTTTTCTCTTTCGAAATCCTAGAAACTGTTTGAAACCACACAATGTTCATGTACAATTTAATCCGCAGTATTAATAGATCAAATTAATACATTTAAATAATTGAAAGTTTTAGTTAAATATAACATTTTCTTAACACTAGAATGATAATAATAGAAAGAAAGAACAACTTGAAAAAGGATATGCCTTTGATAGTATATATTTAGAATTGCAGAATATAAAAATTTGGATATATTTCTCCATTTTACCAGTACCATACTTGACCATTAACACAAGAATGCAGACAATCATAATTTTAAATCTATTGAGTTTGATGTACTATATCAACTATTGCCTTCTGTGTGTAGATTACATGGAGGAAGGATGCGGAGCATCGATCAACATGATGACACGGAATGAAGATTCGATCATCCTGCGGTTGTCCCGGAACCCGACCCACCGTCCTAATCAGGACTGTGTGGTTGCTATCGAACCCCCTCTTGGAAAGGACATCTCAGTGACCTTCCGTGACCTTGACGTAGAATCTGGCCCCACTGGTCAGTGTACGACCGACTTCGTTAGGATGTACGATGGAAGGAGTGGTCAAGCACAGTTCGTCCAAGGTAATTTGAAACTTTTAGTTGTGGATTTCAGCGTAATATATTTACAATAATTACATATTGTGTAACAAGATGGCGTCATTATTTCAATAATAAACTGCATGGATATGACAGACCTACTAGTTAAATTTCCATAGAAGGGATATAGAAGGGTATTGTCACATCACTTGAAAATAGTAATTCATACCGAGCAGGTAAATTACACATATCTTTCATGTTCATCCTACATCCAAAACGACAATCAGCTAATTAGCTTAAACCGTCTTCCAATTACAAAGATTTTTATTTGTATTAACCGTAATACGACTCTCGATCTTGTTGTGACCTTGTCTGCCCCTTTGTAAACTTGCAGGCCTACCCCAGACCATATGTGGTAACAGCAATATGATGTTGACCCGGTCATACGAGACCCGCCTCGGTTACCTCACTGTTCAGTTCCAGAGCCGATCTCAGATCGTCAACAGGAGGGGATTCGAACTTCTCATCAGCGCCTTCAGGCGAGGTAAGTTATTGTGAAAATACTCCCTGTACCTCTGACTTCATGATTTGGAATAGTTTGAATAGCAGATATGTTTCTCAATTCTCAAAAAAAAAATGAAAATGAAAACTAAACACCAAAGTTTGACCGATATAAAATACAATAATGAATAATTTCTCAGATATTTTAAATTAATGAAATGACGTGACATAAAGAGTTGCCCACTAACGGAGTGAGCCAAAAAGAAATTCCAAAATTAACTTTATTACCTCATGCATAACGTAAAGAATTTAATCAAAAGCTTCCCCTAATCAGTTATACTACTTTCTGATGGCTTCAGATACTATTTGTTTGTTTTTTACTATTATGTAACTTGTTAAACAATCTGCCTCGTTTTGCCATCAGGACCCTGTCAGGGAGGCGAGACCCAATGTTACAATGGCCGCTGTATCAACAACAACCTGAGGTGTTCCGGGTACGATCACTGTGGGGACGGTACCAACCTCTGTCCTCTCCCACTCGAGGCCAGCGTCGCCCTCGGAGTCGGCGGTATCGTCGTCCTCGTCGTAATCATTGCTGTCATTGGAGTGTGTATCTACAAGAAAAAGAGGAGTTCATCGATGAAAGATGAGGTTAGTACTCTTTTTTCCATTTCTATTTCAAATGTATCAAAGTGAAGCACGCTTTTTACCGCAAAACAGGGTACAAGTTTTCCTTTTTATTACAAACCAGAAAAAACGACGTATTATCTTGTATCAAATTTTGTTTGTCACAAACAAATTTCTTCTACATCTCCGACCGTATTGATTATAGAAGAAGACACTTCAGGAGATTCATTGAAATATCAGTCGCACATTTCTAGAATCGGCAATAGGTTTATAACATCCTCATATCCTGTATGTTCTAGGGCAAGCACGAACCCTATTTCCCGCCCTGCAAGTTTGATTTTAAACAATATATTAACGGATTAGACTCGTCTTACCGAGAGGGACACATGCACGTTCCACCACCTATTGGGTATAACACAATTATTCTTTTTAAAAATAAGTTGGGGTTTACCATTTGAGCTGTTTGTGCGTGAAAAGTTAAAAACATACATCTTAATTGGTTAACGACGAATCAACCCTTTTCTAGTTTAGGAAGTTTTAGCTCCTTTAATATGTGCAAATTCAACCGATGTTATTGAAATCATGTTTTATTTTGCTGTTTGCTGCATGTTTATCCGCTTGAGCTATTTACTAATCCCCTTTCTACATTCCAGTATTAATGTTGCAGATATCCAAAGAACAGATGAGGAAGGATCAGTATCACAACGTTAGCGGCGAGAGCATCAGGGTCAAGACCGTATCCAACGGCAACCTGCACTGACTTCGTGCATCTCTCGGTGCCATTGCCGACACCAACAAGTTCTTCGCTATCCTCTTGGATTACATAGGCCGAGGGACAACGCCAAAAATTACAGAGGGCGCCACGGAAGGATCGACAGATGGCGCCACTGAAGGATCTGCTGATGGCACCGCTGAAATTTATAAAAGAGGCGTAATCGACGGATCCACAGATGGTGCCGGTGACGACATCGCAGAGATACAAGTCTAGCTAGTTATAACAGGAACCGGAAGTTGATCGAATGAACTGAACAAAATCCGCCAAAGGCTATCTTTGTACTGTTTCGTGAATTTTGATATTTTCGTACTAAGATTTCGAAGGCCGAATTTGAGCAAATTTCGACGACTGTTAAGAACATTTACCGACATTTTGATTTATAAATAGAAGAGTGTGTACGGCTCGCGTTACGTAACTAATAGGTGCTATCCTTTCTCATCAGACCTAGTGTGTAAATGTGATTTTAGTGTCCTGTATATACCTATCATATGTCCCACACCTATAAATACCTCGCCATTTTTACCTGTAGTCTAATTTCATGTAGATCACAAACTTTGTGTAACCGATAGTTTTACAATTGTATATAAACATTTTTATACGAACGTAGTTTCCAATAAAAGGTACCTTATATTGTAATTGTCTTTCTTCTCGTGTGTTTTTTAAACTAACTGCTTCTTGAACTATTATGTATTTGTTCAATGGCTTTGCATGGTGTTATCAAACATATCCGGTCCGATGTGCTGGTAGTTGAGGCCGATTGCAACTCTCAGCACCGAAAGGTAAAACATACTTTTCACTATTATATTAGAAAGCATTAAATGGCCGGAAAAGACCAAATTTAATCAACTCTTTACCCGATAAACCAAATACGTGCAATGTTCTTCCAAAAGCCTTTTTTTCTGTCGCAATGTAAACAATTCTTGGACTGGTCTTGGACGAGTTTACATTAGCGAGTAAGGGTACACGTGTGTTTGTACATTCCTATTCGTTACAACACACCATGATCAACGTTAAACTGACAGAAAGTGTCCCTGTATGCAACAAAAGCCTAATTCTAATAGATTATCTAAGTCTTATATGTATCGAGGTAGACACGAGCGCATATTCCATTACTTGTTTAACGTGGTTGAAAAGATACATGTGTAATAATAATAATAAATATTTTATTAGCGTGTCACACATTTTAAAATACATACATAATAGTGTTAACCAAAATAATGCATGATTTATAACTGCCCAGCCAGTATTAGCTTACGAGACACAGAACATAAAAAGAGTTATCAATCATGGTTTAATGTATTACTCAGGATTCGAAAACCGTCGGTATAATAATAACTGAACGTGTTTTGTTTTGTCACCCTCGATATATAACCACATTATACGCATTGTCACCCTCGATATATAACCACATTATACGCAAATATCTTGATTGTTTCTCAATGTGTCGTACACCATTCCTTAAAAAGGTTTAGAATATGGCCATTTTTAAAAAGAAACGTTAGAAAACATTGTGATGGATATGCTATTTCACAAATAGAATATATCGGTAACACAATGTAAGGAATGATGAATGTTTGTCTCAATGCGACACGTTATTGTCCGGGTATTTGACATTATTGTAACCAAACACTAAACAACAGGTCACAAAGATTAGTTCTACACTGCATTATGAAAGGTTTTACTCAAATAGCATCACACTATGTAGGATTGATTGTCATTATTGTTCTGTACCGAAGTACATGGTTGCTATATCTTTATTGGAATACTTACGGCTGATCAAATTAATTATCATCTTAGTTTAACGTAACATGGACATGATGCTGCAAATGGAGATAAAACAGAAAACCGTAATGTGATATGACTGAGTCGGTAAGGTCTGGTGGTGTATTCTCTTTAGCACTTCAACCAAATCGGTTTTAAAGGAGATCGATAAAGTACGTGCTTCCTAAACAGCTGATATAGCCTAATCATCTGTTCTGTTTTACATTTTAAAACTGTTCTATCGGTTATAACACTTAATGGGATACGATTAGGATACAACACACCTTAGCAAGTACATCTCCTGCATACCCATTCACAAATCAGGGTCTGGACCAGATAGCGAGCGTTTCTCTCTTTACCACGACGCCTAGCTCCTGTAAAACAAAACAGCAATGGTGATTATCAATTTCTGAAGTACTTGTTTACGTCCACAGGGACCTGATAATAAGACGAAATATACATTTGGAGACATTTTCTGTGTGAAGTTTCATGTAGATACACAATCGGTGAGAAATGCACTTTATCTGATATTGAGTAAAACTCCTAAAAAGGTTTTTAACTTTGAACAAGTGTTCAATTTTCTTCCGGAAAATAGGAACCGAACAAGAAATGAGGAACACAATCATGCCAAGGGCCATGGTGTTATCATTTGAATCGGCGCTGTAAAATGTTTGAAGCCCATTCTAATTTTCATTCGCCAATGATCTGATTAATAAACAGCTACCGATTAGTTTATACATATTTTATTTATGAATTAAACAAAAAGGACAGACATTTTTTTCTTCTTACCTATGAACCCCCATGGAGACGACGTACTATAGAGCAATACAACACCTTGTATATACGGAACCTTGTATTCCATTGACTGAAACTAGTTCTGCTATATCATTCACACCTTATTTATATATACCAGCATATTTTAAAAGATTATATTGATAGCGTGACGGAGGTCTGGAACATTATATTTATCGAGTTTCCCCAAGTCATATTTCCCTTATTCGGAATCTCTCTAGAAAATAAGAAATTGGCGATACAACTGAGTTCCGAGAGACTGAAACAGGCGACAACAGTGGCACAGAAGCAATTACTGTATAGTGTTATTTTTCTAATTCGTAAAATAAAATACTCAGTGCGCTTTCTCGCCCTTGTGAAACATAACTATAAAAGGGAAGCAAAGAATTGTCTTTCCCTACCTCAGGGGCAATACAAGTTTATTATATACACAGTACACATCAGGAAAACCTCAAAAAGTATTGAATCTGAATTATCTGGACCCTGTGTGCACGCCTTGCTTCTAATGTTAGCGATGTTCTCTTCTGTATCGATAGTTGTCTGTCAATCGAAATTGCTTTTGGAAAGAGATGTTTATATCAAAAGCATGGAAAATAGAGATTTCCCTACGAATGCTTAAAAAATCCGTAAACTTTCATCTTAGCTAATTTTAAACACGTCCGACGATTATGAAGTTATATCAAGATGGTAATAACATGAGGAAACCAACCTTTTTGTGATGGGTAAATTTATCGTTTTGATCGTTTAACGCCTGTGGAATATCAAAGTTAGCTTTAATTTTAAAATCTCGCACGGATGTGTATATTTAACTGCTTATAGATCGATCGTACCCTTCTTACTATGACTAGCCAACTGAGTAAACCATGTAAGTGATCACTTCTATACTTCTAAGTGCTAACTCCTATTCTTCCAAGTGCTAACATCATACTTCTTAGTGCTATTCCCTATACCTCTAACTACAAACTTCTGTATTTGTAAACTCCTACTCCTAAGTACCAGTTTCTGTACTAAAAGTGCTAACCTCTATACTTGTAAATGCAAAATCTTATGTTCATATTGCGAACTTCTTCATTTCTAAACGCAAATTTCTATACTTCTATTTTTTTAATTTTTATTGTAACTTCTAAAAACATAACTTTTATTTTCAAATATCGAAGTGCTAACTTCTAATCTTTCAATGCTTCGTTTTTATATGTAATGAAATTGTAATAGGCTAACTTTAAAATCCTAATTTAAAAGCATGACCCCGGAACCCATTAGCGGACAGCCTTGCTTCGCTTGGCAATGGTCTTTCCTTCTCGCAATTTTGGAAACAACCCCCTTCCCTAGCTGACCCTGATCTCTTATTGATATATTGCAATATCATCTTCAGTACCCAAGAAATTCTTCGTCAAATAAGGCACAGTGCAACCTGAAATAACGAAATACTCAGACATCAACCGATCGCTATTACATACCCATAAATACCCAAAGTGAAATGGCGGTTGTTGATAAGCTAAGGTCATACGACACATTGGACTCCCAGCATCTCTCCCGTAAATCTCTCGCTGTAATACACAGCCAACACTGTTTATCCTCACATCACAATTGAATTAATGGAAACTAAAGTTGCAAACAAGTTTGTATATATCGATTTTTGAAACATAAGCCCGATGGTGATTGGGCAGATGTCGTTATCAGGAGCCAATTCACTAGCGCACGTGTTACGGAATAATGTCGCGCGCCGTGACAAGTCGGCCAGGTCAAAGTAGTCCATATAAACCGACCAACAATGTGGGGCAAGTCTTGTAAATTGTTCCTCTGTGAAATTTTGCATCCGATTTCATATTTATTTTAATGTGAAAAGATTCAAACGTTGTGTTTATAACTTTTAAAGGAAATTAGCTTAAAAAGCGATATTTGCCAATCACTTAAGTTGAGTATGCAAAAAAAAGGAATTTAAATCGATGAAATAAAACATAACACCAACAAACATCGCGCCAGTGTTATCACTTTGACATATTGACATTCGACTCGCATGATGAGCAAAGGTACCTAACATTAATAATACGGTAAACCACGGGCATTGCTTAGCACGTTACACAACAACAACCGCGTTAAAACTGGGCCACATGTATACCAATATATTAACAAGCAAATTACACAGCTTAGCTCAACCAACCCGAAAGCTAACACATGTCAAGTAAATGACGTGTTTAGCCACTATTATCCTACTCCCTGGATTGTCCTGCTTTGTAACCTAGTAACACAACAAACCATCAGTTCACATTAAGTCCATAACTGCCGTATGAAAAAAACCGTAAATTGCAATGAGCTCTAATTTGCATATTTGCATTGCTATTCCCGAGTGTAACATTAACAGAAATCTTCCCTCTCTGAAACTGATAATTTTACATTGCGATCGGCGTTTAATGTTTTAGATTTGTTTATTACTTGTCATTTAGAATGAACAGTCTTGGTTATGCCGGGGGTGCCGAGAACAGCGTATACGGTTCCATATACTGCACCATTGCACTACCTCTCAACATCTTCATCATCTGTCGACTTTCATTGAAGTCCCTACACAGCAATTGAAGCTTAATTTAAATCCATGAATGCTCATTCTATCGTCAACGTATTACTTTGGAATCAAAATAAACGGTTTATGTTGGTAGAGAAAGCAGACAAGTCGGTGTCGAACAAGATCAACTACCGATTACGGCAGAAACACGTGTGTAAATCATGTTGGCACGGTCCAATGTCTTGTTCGTCTGTTATACAGTCTTCAAAACGGATACATTTCCATGGCGATGTGCTTTCAGGTAGAACTCCGAGACCTATATACAAACCTAAAGGGACTCCAGAGGAGTGATAGTCTCAACGAAGGCGTACTAAGTACAAAGATAACAGAGCTTAATACTTAACATCTCAATACGGACAGAAGGACAGAATTATGATAGCTTTATAGAAACGCGCCTAACATTCACAATCATAAACAAACGTTCATTTATTATTCAACCGGTTACACCTCCTTAGGGTGTGATCCTAGAGAAACGTAATCGCTAACAGCCATCATCCGAACCCAGTCAATATGCCAGCT